GGGTGCATTTTTTAGGGATAGAGGTTAGGGTTAGAGGTTAGTTTTAAAGTAAAGTTATAATAAACAAGTATAAGTTGGTTTTAGAAAGTTAACAGATTGAGTAGAAAATGTAGATTTCATTTTAAATTATGATCTGTGACAAAACCTAAGCAAAGAGATAATGAAGATCTTTGATGATACTATAAAAGCCAGAAACTGGAAACTAAAGAACCAGACAAAAATTCTGGAACAAGAAAGATCTACCAACTTGGCTGTCAAAGTCACATTGGAGAAAAAGGTCCTGGCTATAAATTAGAAACCAAAGAAGTAAAACTGGATGGCACTTAAAGCCTAGATACAATGATCTATTTTGGCTAACTGGCTTGTAGTTAGAAGAGATCAGTATAAAGACCAATTTAATATAGATATCAGGATTGGAACAAACCTTATAATGGCACCAAATATTAGAATTATACAGTTTAATGGTTAGCTCTGACTGCTAGTAGTGGTTTTAACTACTGCAAAAGGTATTCATTGCCTAATCTGACAATGCGTGTAATATAAAAAAATTTTGTGTATATACTACACCTCCTCTAGAGCAACCTGGTAGTATGAGAACTCTACTGGATTATCTATAGAATTAGAGTTAAGTAGTATAGCACATGTCAATTTGAGTGGTCTTTAATTAAAGCAGCATGAGGTTATAGGCTGCGTAATTGTATTGTTAGTGTAGGACGAGAGATATCAGAGAGTTTAAATGAGTAATCTTCTAGTTAAGTTACAGGTATAGCATATAGAATAAAACCTTCAGGTGGACTATTTAAATAGGCAACCAAAAGTTACACATTTAGCCTCTCGTTAACCAAGTATATATAGTCAAACCTCTCTATAGTCACAACTTTGGGATACAAAAACTGTGATTATAAAGAGGTGTAACTAATATAGAGGTATTTTTTATATAGCTATAAATAATTGGTAAAATTAAATTTGTAATTATACCAATTTTGTAACTATAGAAGAGGTGACTATAGAGGAGTTGACTGTACTACTAAAATATCTAATAAAAATTCATCTTTCCACAATATTGTGAAGGTAAAAAAAAAAAAAAAAAAAAATACTAATGATATTTGAATAAAGAGCAGCGTGGCAAAAAGGTTACCTTAAAAAAAAAAAAAAAATCTATAAAGGTTATTGAATACCCTATTATGTCTTTAAAACAAAAGCTAGATTACTTATACAAACCTCAGCTATGACTTTAGTATCACATAGTTTATTAAGTCGACATTCTTCACTATTGCAAGTACTAAACTTAAGCTATGATACCCAAAGTGGATTAAATATCATTACAACTTATACAATTTAATTATTTTAGAAATCTAGGTGAGCCATGGCTACCCTGGTAGGTTTAGATCGCAGATAACTCCAATGTGAGCTTTGTCTAAATCTTTATTCTTAGTATCTTTTAGATATAGAGTTTAAATAATGTAATTTTTTTTTTATAAAGAAGTCTAATTGAATTTTAATAAAGCTAGAGGCATGGCTTTACCTTTGAAGATTAAAAAAAAAAAAAAAAACTTTTGAGAACTTTCCTTTAGAATTACCTACTCACTGCAAAATATTCAAACAATATATTATACTCATATTTATGCACTTTGGATAACACAAACCTGTTTTCAAAAATAGAACAAAATTTTAACCAAATTAATTAGCAAGCTACCTGGTTATATATTAACAATAAAAAATTTTCAACTTTTTGTACAGTTTTTAATCTTCTGCTCTTAAATTCTTTAGGATTAAAATTTTATTAGATAATCTTTCTTCTCCATATATTTTACACAAATAATATTATTCATATTCACCCAATTGTCATTAATATTATTAGAACAGCTTTTATTTTTATTAATTGATGATTCTCCAGTCAACTGAAGAATAAACATAATAAAATATGACTCAATTTATTATATAAATCTAATATAAACTAAATATGAAATTGCTCCAAGGTAAACTTTTTTTTGTACTAAGTTAATTGATCTTGTCAATTAATTGAAAGTTGTAAAGCTCATTTTTGCAGTTTTAATGGTGGTTAAAGCATCAAAATTGGCCTAGTAGGTGCCAAGATATTTTTAAAAAACATTTCTTTTACTATGTAAACTTCTTTGCAAACAATAGTCAAACAATAGTATCGTTTGCAAAGAAGTTTACATAGTAAAAAAAAATGGTTTTTAGATATCTTGATACCTACCAGGCTGATTTTGATGCTTTAACCACCATTAAAACTGCAAAAATGAGCTTTACAACTTTTAATTAATTGACAAGATCAATTAACTTAGTACAAAAAAAGTTTATCTTGAAGCAATTTCATATTCGGCCTATATTAAATTTATATAATAAACTGAGTCATGTTTTACTATATTTATTTTTCAGTTGACTGAAGAATCATCAATTAAATA